TCATGATCATTGTTCGCACCGAATCACTCGACCATAAGCTCACAATACAATTGTATTATATTTATCCAGCTTTATATGGGTCAATTATTCGTACGGTCGATCGGATGCTCGTCGCTGAACGGTTGAAAACTCGAGGCTCTCTTTCTCTCGATACTCGCGGATACAAAGTCCGATTTTTATATCTATATCCGCTTTTATATCGCACACATAGGCCGGCGATGGCTTCTTCTACCTTTTTTGCCGCGCGCGCTCGAGTTATACATGGCCCCGGATGCACTTCCTCCTTTTGTTATAATACCTACTACACAGAGAGCGAGAGAGACGTATATAAACCGTGAACCTTAGCCGGAAATAAGAAAAAGAGCTTATTTGACGAAGGGAGAGGAGGAAAATGTAGAGTCTCCGTGTGTACGTATCGATTTAGAGCCACTGACGTCGGCCCGCCGACTCGTGCTGTATAGGCTTTGCTTATAATACCTGCAGCCGCCGGCCAATTTTTACAGCAACGGGGCGGATATGGCTAATACGGATCGGGGGGCCCGCAAACGAGTCTCTCTCTCTCTGATGCGCCGAATGACTTGTTGTCCGCTGAATTCATGTATATTGGACAATTATTAGGGCAGCCTTTGCTATATATAAAGCTTCGAGGATGATTTTCGTGAACGAGAGCATAATTGCGACGTGGTATAAGACGGCGATCGCTTCCGCGTACGAAAAAAAAAACATCGGCGTTAAACGGTCTAGAGATGTCTGTATTTCGGAGTCATTCGGTATATAATAATACAAGTTGCGGATATAGTGGGCTCAAATGCTGCATGTATAAGCGCGCGTTGCAAAATCGAGTTATTAAGCAACAGGCACCGCGTCGATATCGACTAGCTACTACTACTCGCACCCGATCGCCGCATTCCGCAGTCCGGAGGGGAAGGAAAACGACGACGAGGAGAAAAAAAAATAAAGATTTTCCATCTTTCGAGCGGCGAAGCCCTTATTTGAAAAATAATTAAAATAACTCGCCAGAACGAGGTAGAATATTGTAGAAATGAAATACGTATATAGGGAGTATGCGGCTCGGGGGAAAAAATTGGCCGTTTCGAAATATTATTTACAGGCGGTGCTGCCGCTGCAGTGTGCGATTGCCAAAGAGAGAGAGAAGTGAGCTAATAATGTTAAATCTAAAAGGTTTATTGTATTAGATCGATATGTATACGTATGTAAGAGAATAATTGTATGAAAAGAATCGTGATGTATTGGAGCGCCGTAAACACACACACACACAGTTGTAATATAATGCAATAAAAGTGATTTCCTAATGCCACGAGCTTTTAACAGCGAATTCGCAGCTCCCAATAATAATTGTCGACGAGATCGCTGCCGCTCGTTTTTCTGACAAAAAAAAAAAAAAAAAAAACAAAGCATCGCGCAGCAACCGATCCACGATTGTCTCTTTTCGCCGTTGATAATTATAAAAAAAAAAGAAGAAGGAATTATTCGAAACGTGCCAGAGACGAGAGACAAGAGGTAGAAGGGGGAGGGAGAGACGCGCGAGTATAAGGAACGAGACTGCACAGCAGAGATTCTCTCGCGAGGAGGAGTGGAGCGCAACAGCAGCAAGACAAAGTCGCGCGAGTGGTTCACGGCTTTTGAATGCGCGACGGCGGCGGCAACGAAATTATACATGCAGTCGTGACCTCGGTCGAGGTCGAAGACGCAGAGAAGCCATTAGCCGTGGCGAGAGATCGGTTGCAAAACTGCACTGCACTGCACTGCACTGCACGGCTCGAACGAGCGAGCGAGCGAGCAGCGTCAAGAGCGCGTCCGCCTCTGTACAAAATATACATATATAGGTATGCCGTAGCTGCTGACGTTACACGATCCCGCGGTACACCTATGCTATACGGTTGCGGCACGCGTGTATGCAGCCGCGTATATCTCGCGTATCTCGCAGCGAATCAGAAATATGCGTACGTGGCTATACGTTCGTTTTGCAGTATTTTTCGCGCGCGATTCGTCTCTCTAGCACCGCACCTTAGTTTTCTGGACTGCGCTGCAGCATCACCAACACGTATAATATCTTTCCTTGTGCTTCGGAGAAATAACGATTTCCGTGCCGGGCAATCGTCGCCCGCGCGGAGAGAAAACCGGCTCTCGGTGCAACTACAAGCGCGCGACTCTACGTACGCTCGCACACGCGTATCCTTTTCCTTCGAGTACGATTCTCGTAGGATATATTATGCTCTGCAGCATCAGCTAAGGAAGCAGCGGTAGAGAGGAGCGGAGAACGAGACGCGGATATTTATACGCGTGTGTGTGTATAAAAGGGCGTGAATCCAACCGGTTCGTGGCGATCCCGATGCAACCGATTTTTTCTATACAATGATACGCGTATATTCGCGATATCTATACGCGTATACGAAGATGTTTCGCCGCGCCTGCATCGTGCGCGAGAGATCTAGAAGCCGCGAGATCGAGTCGGCTTTTCCACGATTTTCGCCGGTTTTGCAAAATGTATAACCCGCGTACGTGTAGTAATAATATCGAGCGAGTCGAGCGAGTGACTCGAGAGCGAGGAAAAGCTTATTATACGCCAATAGGCGCGCAGGCTCGACTTTATCGTTATCAGCGACAAATATGCCTCTCTCTGTCTCTCTCTCTCTCTCTGTTATACGCGCTTTTTCGACATATAGAAAGTTACGAAATGTTGTCTCTTGCAGCAATGTCTGTAACGCGCGTTCGCACATTCATATACATCATGTATACACATACGCCAAGCTTTTTTCTTTCTTTCTTCCTTCTCTCTTCTCTCTCTCTCGACACTTATCAATCGCGAAAAATTATAAATGTTCCGATAAGAGCGCGTACGGCTTGCGCCGAATACACACGCACATACAGACTGTGTATATGAATTATTATATACGAGCTCTCGCAAATCTTGAGCGTGCCCCGGGCAATGATGCAATGCTCGCGTTTATACACATGATATACAGACACTCGACGCGCAAACTGTGTGTTAGACAAAATCGCGCGAGACTTTCAGACGGTTTACGCAGAGCAACATTATTGCGGCGCGAGATAATCCTATATACATATAGGTATACGCGATGATGTACATGCGTTACATTTTTGCTTCATTGAAAAATGCGACGCCAAATTCGGAGCGTTATTACAATTTCGCTTTGCGCTGTGCTTCGTGTTTTCGCAAATTGTGAAATATATCTTTTTTTACGTACCTTTGTGCCTAATAACGAAGCGGCAGAACCGCATTCGATGACTACGACGACGACGACTAATCCTGTTCTCGTGTTTATATTTTTTCTAAGAACTCATTTTTTACCAAACGAATGATTCGCGACGATCGATATGTGGATCCTGGCTCTCGAAAAAACAATTTTTGAGGAATTAAATTATGCCTGGCACGCTTGAGAGAAAAAAAAAAGAACATCGTCGCGCGGGCCGGTGCGTGGCATTGTTCGCGCGGTGTCGTGTCCTTGGCCTTATTTACCTAACGTTTCGCGGCTGCGCGTGGCTTAGAAAAAATTTGATATCGTTTCGATTCCGAATAAAATTAAAAAAAAAAGCTCGACCATACGATCGACGAAATGTCGATGCACGAATTACTAATCGAGTTGATCATGCTGCAGTTTTACCTCGATTAACGTATACGTGTTTCAGCGAATAAAAGCGGAATTTACTTCGGAATATTGTAAGTTCTACGACGCGCGAGCGAAATGGAAGTCTACTTGCAGGAGCCAACGCAGCTCATATACCTACCATATGAATAGATTCGAAATCCATTCACAAGGTTGAAAAGACACAATAGATTTTTTGCTCCAAGTCTCCTTCTCTCTTCATTCATGCTCTAGCTTCGAAACTCGTATTATACACACATTACCTTCGCGTATATACTCATTGGCTCTGCTATAGGCCCTTGTTGTACGGTAAAATTTGTGTAAATAAACACAGTATACGACACACGATATCGTGTCGCTGTTATAATGTAATAATGCGCTATAGCCCAGCGAGATATCCGATATTTACGAAAAAAACGAGAATTTCGAATACCTATACAGGCACCGCACGCGCCAGATGATCATTATTGCCCCATCGCGTGTCATCGATACGTTTTAAAAACAAGCGAATAAACGCGCAAGTTGCATTATGAACGGGCTCGGTAATCGCGAGAGATCGCACCTGCTGTATCTCCTCTCTCTCTCTCTCTCTTTTCCTCGTGACATTATCAGTGCGCGTTCGGGCGGTCGAGAAGAAAGACCCGAAGAAATTATACATGAAGAAAGGTGGCAGCAGATGCTGCCTAAACGTAAAACGCATTACGCACCGCGGGCAGCAGCTGCCCATATATAATATACTTACACACGATGCACATTCAATGAGTAAGCGCGCAGCATCCTCTCTTCTCCTACTTTTTGTTTGTTTTTTTTTTGGGAGAGCTGCGGCGGTCCCCCGAGCGCACGCGACGTACGCGCGCCACGATCTTCGGCAGCTTCGTTTCTTTCAAGGTTTCACCTCTCTGTATGCCTTATAATAATGCTTACGATATACGGAGACAACGTCACCGCAGTGCAACTGTAAAATCAACGCACGAGACAATGTGACATTTTTTCCTCCTCCTTTTTTTTGTTTTTTTTGTTTTGGCTGTGCAACGAGATTATAAAGCGACGTTCGTGTGATTCCTCGTGTGGACACAAGTGATCAATGTTTTGGAGAAAATAATCTCGTGCCATGATAAAAGCGACGTTTTAATATAATCGATGAAAGCCGTACAATGAAAAATTGATATGTAAATACACGATAAGTAAGTAGATAAATGAAGATGCTTAACTCGTTAGAGAGTGTACGATACAAAACGTGAAATTAGATGTATGTAAACTTGGCTTGTTGATGTTCTCTTTAAAATTGGCCAATGTGTGGATTTTACTGAATTTATCTACATTATAATAAGTAATATAAAATAAACGACTCTACTAATTTTGAGTAATAGATTTGATGTTATTGTAAGTAAATTTCATTGATCATATAGCTGTTCTTCAAGAACTCATTAATGAATACATTGTAATTACATTAAATGTAGTAACATTTATTGGCTGGAAAAAGATTTACAGCACACGATTGACAGATAACTTGAATTTTTACAATTGCTTAAAATTAATTAGAAAAAATTACAATGAAGCTCTTAGAATATTTTTTTTATCTATGCTGCATCAAATATTCAAGTTTTGATTGACAGATAACGGACAATAAATTATTTAGAGATATAAATAGTCATCATCGCTTGTACAATTTTGTGTTTCTTCACTTACGAAAGTATGCAATAAAAGTAATCATAAAAAATTTCTAAAACTTATATTTAAACTTTCATTTAATACCTTCTATTTAAAATTAAAACTTAAAAATGAATTAAAAACAGACACAATTTAAAAATTAGGTAGGATTTCAAGAAAATAGTTTACGAATTTTCTTCGCCTACTGGAGTGGTTCTTTTCCTTTTGAACAGAAGAATGTGAGGTTCGGGTTGATGAGTCATGTAATGCACCCATCCTTCGCTTTGCCTCACTCCAAGGGCTCTCCATTCCTGCTCCGACATTAAATGTGTTTTTGGCACGTACTTCTCCAACTCCTTGGACAGTACCACATGCCTGTATTCGTAGACGTCGTCGTAGTATTTATCTGAGTAATAGATATTGTTTGCCATTTCTTGAGATGTTGATTCTGCAAAAAGTTTTTAAATTTTTGTATTGTTTTTACACAAAATTTCAATACACTATGTAAAAATATTTACATTCGAATCACTCAACAATGTAAATCTAACTATGCACTAACTGGAGACTGCAAATATTATTTAAATGAACAGATGTGCCTCCCACCATCACCACCACTACCACCACCACAAGGATAGAGCATAGGACCTGTTGCTGGGTGCAATATCCGAGATATTGGCCCAGAAAATTCTAGAAGATACTTGATGATCTATTAAGGTTTTAAATTTAAACAATTACTCGAGGCTAAATCATACGAAATTATCTTTCTTTCAAGCAGTTTTCTTGCTTAGTTTAAGTCGATTAAAAGGAAAATGTCTGTTCAAAATTTAACCGTAGCTCCGGACTCCGGACATATTCGAATGCAACGTGTATTTATACAGACTTTTTTCCCGCAAAAATCTAACTGAAAATAGTGACGTGCGCGATTGTTTCAAATTCCTACGAGTGCTACAGGCGTTAAAGTTGACTTTGACAGTACTTACGTATTGTTTTTCGGCTATAAACAATGGTAAATTTCTGAACAAACGCAGAAATACGAGGATCGTGCTTACCACATATAGTAACGGTCACTTACGTTTTGGGATCAAATATGAATTTTACGGCGTCTGCTCCGTTGCTTCTCGTCGTGGCCACGCAACGCGCGCACGTCGTTAGCGCTAGCGGCGCGGCCGGTGTGAACGATGCGCCAGAATTTCGCGCCTTTTTCAAATTTCGACATTTCTGACCACTGCTGCTATTCTCTGTGTGCAGTCAATGCAGATTTGATATGTATCGATAATTTCGAGTGTGCCAAGTCGCTTGATAATCTTTTTCTTGTTTTGATTCTATGAAATTAATAAGTCTACGACCTTTTTATCAGCGATAAAATATGATTCTTTGCAGTCCTCTTATCTCATCATCAAGTTCTCGAGACACGGGATTTTTCAATCAAATCTTCGAAATTTATGATTATTTATTATTGGAGAAATTTAAAAAACTTTATTATTTAACAATGGTTCAAGTTTAGATTAAATATTTTGACAATTTAAATTGTAATTTATTCACGAAGCACGTCTGCTATTGAAAATATTATTCAGTCTTCAAAATTTACATAACTGAAATTGCACAATAAAAAGAAATAATAAAACTTACTCTCGAAAAAGTTACAATGAGATGTCAAACAAGTTTTCCATGTAACATTCTCTTATAATGTTCATTATTGTGAAAATTCATTACATATGAAAATGTAATATCGAATACTCAAGTGCCACTCATATGTCGAGTTCTAGCTGCAGCAGTATATTGTATAAAAATGTACATTGCAGATAATTGTTGCGGCGATACAGGCGCCCGTGCTTCTATAGAGTCCTTATCTCTGTCAATTAATTTTTTTTCAGTGGCATCTTGAAGTTACAAGAATGTTAGCGACGGCCAGCAATCGTAGCTGTACAAATTATCAATTATAATACACATGAATAGATTGTCAAAAAGGTTGAAAGAAACGGATATAAAAGTTACACAATAGAAACTCATGATTATATCAAAAATGTCATTTATTTTCAGTACTCATTCAACAGGCACACAAGCCATGATAAAAAAAAAATTAAATTACAAACAGTTTTTTGTATAGTGGGGGGCTCGGATAAATGCCCGAAATCAATGCCGAACGAATACTCAAATATTTTTAAAAACTAACTTTCAAATAAAAAAGGATAATTGTACTAGTAGTAAAATGTTTTCAGGTAACACAAATTTGTCTGTCTTTGTCTAACGATACAAATAAACAGAACCGAACAATTAGCAACTAATGCTAAAGTGATATTTTCTTACAATAGAGCGGGGGGTCCCTTGCTTAAAATTTCTCACGCTCGATGTTCACGGCCCCGTCCTGGAGGATCTGGTGCATGGCGGCGAGCCGCGACTTGGGCACGACCGTGCCCACGATCTTCTTCTCGTCGTCGGTCTGCAGCCGCAGCACCTGGATGCGCGAGTCTCGCTCGTAGCCGCCCAGGCCGTGGTGGTGGCCGTTGTTCTGACTCTGGCTGGACAGGACGTGCTCGATCTGGCTCCAGACGCTGAGCACCGAGCCCGACAGCACGTGGTAGGTCTTGAGGCGACGGCCGACCTCGCACTCCTGGGGCCGCTTGCAGCTGCCGTTGTAATACACGTGACGGCACATGGTTTTCGAGCCCTCGTACAGCAGTTCCCAGTGCTTCTTGGCTTCCTGGACGTCGGCCTTGCGGTATTTCTTCTCCAGATCGGCGATCGAGTCGTTGCGGGCTTTTCTACCCACGCTCGGATGATAGATTATCTGATTCTTTTTCGTTTTCGGCCACCTCGTGTCGTAGCCGTCCGTGGACACGGCCAGTTGCACGTCGCACTTGCCGTTGCTCGACACTCGACTCACGTAAAAGTCGTAGGAAGTCGTGTAGAGATCGTGATGAATTTTGTTCAACACGTCGGCCCAGCTCATACCTTTCTCCATTTCCAGAGTGTGAAGCTCGGCGGGCGATACACCGGTAGAGTGTCTGCGGTAATACCTCACCAGCTCTTTTCGCTTGCACGAGCCGCCGAGATCCAAGATTCCCTGGTCGAATTCACCGGCGCGTTTGGCTTGAAGGATTATTTCCTGGAGCGTGTCCATGAAGTATTGGAAGAGGGTGTTTTGCAGCCTCACGCGCAGGCCGAGAATTCTGTTCAAGAATTTCGACATGTTGCCGTAATCCTTATCGAGAAGGTACTCGACGTTCGATCCGAATCTGTTCATCGTGACCAGACCAACGCCCAAGAGACCGATCTTGGCCTCCTGGAAAAAATTCGGATAGTCCTTCGGTTCCGGTACGAGTGACTTCTCCTTACCCATGATTGATCTCATGGTCACCTCCAGCGCCCTTCGGCCGTACTTATTGTCTATGTTGAACTGCGACAGATCGTGCGATTCGGTTGCGCGTCTGTCGCCGTGCGTCAAAGCTCCCAAGCTCTCGAGTCGCTTGGCCACCGTGGCCGCGAATCTGCGCTCGCCCGCCAGATCCGAGATCAGGAAGATGTACTTGGGCGCGTTGGCTTGATTCGATCGATGAGTCCTGCCGAACTGTTGAATGGCGCGATCGGCGCTCCAAGGCAACTCCAGAGTTATGTGCACGCGTTGCCGCTTGTTCGCGGCTCGATTGTCGCTGTGAAGAGATATGCCGCTGCTCGCTGCTTCGGATATGATGGCCACCTGTTTATTGCCGTTCATGAATTCGTCCTTCTCGTACACGTTCAAATTTTCCAACGAGCACTCGCTCTCTTTTCTCGATTCGAAGTAAATTGCGCCATTTTCCGATTGAACCACTCTGCCTTTGCGACCTGTCATTTCAGCAACATTTTCAGGCCCTCCGAGTTCATTGATCAAGTGATCCAGTGTGTTTGGTGGAAGTGCAGGACCAAGTTGTTCAATTTTTTTCAATAGCTCGTCCTTCATTTGACAAGCTCGATTAATGTTGTCATCTCGATTATTGACCTTTGGTGATGTATCTTGTAGCTGTAGCTTTGGTGACGTATTTCTTGGCTGTGGCGTGGGTGGTATAACTTTGGTTGGTTGTTGAATAGTGGGCCTTTGCACTTTTGTTATCATATTCAAATATTCGTTAGTCGATAATTCTTCTTTAGGTTTTGTATTTACATCTGTCTTATTACTAGATTTTTTTGATTTTAGTTTCTTCTTTTTCTTTTGTTTCTTTTTCTTCTTTCTTATAACCATCCAAAATTCTTCATCGTCATCAGAATCAGAATTTTTACCAAAATAATTGTCATCATCTGAATCATTGAAATCTGAATCTTCTTTGCTATCTGAACCGTCATCAGAATTTACAAGTTCTGCTTCTTCCTCTGAGCTGTCAAGACAAATTTTTTTAGGAGAATCAATTTTTGGTGTTTTAATTGGTGATGCTGCTCTTTTGATCGCTTTCGGAGTACTACTTTTTATTTTGTTAAGTAATTCATTTTTTTCAAGAATTTTATTTATATGACTTCTATTTGGAGCTGGAAAGTGCTTTGTCACCAAAGATTCTAAAACTCCTTTAGCAGATGAAACAAAATCATTAAGTTCATCATCTTTATCAATTTGTTCTAGTGTTTTAGCTTCACCAGTTGATTGTAGACCAATAACAACACATTTGCCTAATGTCTTAGAAGTAAGTGCGATCTTCACAGCACAGTCAACTTTTGCAGCAATGCACATGTATTTGAAGAAACGTTGATGAGAAGCCCAAAATTGACCCCAAGCAGTCTTTTTCATATTGTGCTCTGCATCTAAAAGATTGAATGCCTCTTCAAATTTCTGTCTTGCATCTACCCAGAGTTCAACAGCTTTGTCATAATTTTTTTCAAATTCTTTTGTCAATTCCACCGTCTTAATTTCAAATGAAACTCCACGAAAACTTAGCTGTCGCGCAATGTACATGCCCCGAAGTTTCATGTCCATTGCCACAATTTCCATAGCTCCAACGCCACGTTTTTCTATTGATGTGATAAAATCAGAAAACTCACGAAAAGGTGTTCCTTTACCCCACAGGCCTAGACGAACCATGTAAGCCATATTTTTGGGTTCAGTTGCTCCAGTGGCACTGGCATAAACAACTCTTGCATCTGGCAGATCATTTTGTAAATCTAGTACTGCTTTTCCAATTTTCGTCGATTTACCTCCTCCAGCAGGAAAGAGATTTTTGGCTTTGTGACATTCATCAAAAATAATAAGTCCATCAAATTTTTTTCCACACCATTCTACTAATTGCTTCAAACGATTTTTAGCATACCCATTTTGTTGATTCTGCTCGCCTATAAGAGCTGAATAAGTGCTAAATATTACACCATATTGGTGTTCTATTTTTTTATATTTAAATGTTTTGAGTACATGAATAGGTATAGGTGCATTAATATCCTTCAAGTCACGTTCAGCATCATATCTAAGATCATTAGATACAGATACCCAAATGGCTTTTTTTCTACCCTTCAGATAATTTTCGTATATGATTCCTGCAATTGTTCTACCTTTGCCAACACCAGCTCCATCGCCAATGAAAAATCCTGCCCTTGATTGATCGGGTAACAAATGTTCATGCTGCTGAGAAGCATATGTTATAGATTCTAATTGCAGTGAAGATAAATTTCTTTCTGGTATCGATAGTTTATAAGTTATATCTACAGGTTCTACACTTGCTAATGTTGATGTTTCTACTACAGGATCTGGATGTCTATTCTTACAATTAAGCTTAGATGGCTTGTAGACTGCATATGTTTCAGCCACTGCCATCTCTTCTTCTTCTTCCTCTTCGAATAATGCTGGATTAATTGCAGCAGTAGCTTGAGCGGCTGGCAAACGAGCTTGGGCTTGTTGAGGACGTGCTTGAGGTTGTTGAAGACGAATTTGAGATTGTTGAGGACGAGTTTGAGGTAGTTGGAGTCGAATTTGAGATTGTTGAGGACGAATTTGAGGTTGTTGAAGACGAACTTGAGGTTGTTGAATACGAACTTGAGGTTGTTGAATACGAATTTGCTGTGTTTGAAGATGATTTAGAGTCTGTTGGATACGAATTTGAGGTTGTTGAGGAAGATTTTGGGGTTGTAAAACTGAGGATTTGTTAACGATATTGAAAATTGCCTTTCCACCAAGGGGCTTCAGTTTGTGGTTGCCCAAGTTAATTGGCTTTCCTGCAAGTGTTAAAGTTTTACCTGCCACATTAAGCATAATAGGCTTGCTGTTTGTTGCAAGCTTTATAGTTTTACCATCAATGTTAACAGTTTTACCTGTAAAACTGCCTACAGAGCCAATGCTTGGCAAGACTTTTGATGTCACTGGTTTCAATGTAATTTTTAACTTATTATCTGGCAAAGTTCTGGGTATATTTTTGAAAAATATACCATTGCTATTCCCTGAAATTACAGGAGCAGTGACACAATTATTATTCACTTTTTCCAATTGTTTCAATCCTACATCAAGAGGAGCGTTAACACAATTATTGTACACTGTTTCCAATTGTTGTACTCCTATATTGAGAGGAGGAACATTAACACAATTATCGTTCACTGTTTCCAATTGTTGCACTCCTATATTGAGAGGAGGAGCATCGACACAACCATTGTTCACTGTTTCCAATTGTTGCTCCCCTATATTGAAAGGAGGAGCATCTACATAATTATTGCTCACTTGTTCTAATTGTTTCAACGTGGCAAGACTCGCACCACCTCCAGGAACTTCAATATTATCTGGATCATCGTCGAAGTCACTATCACTACTGCTATCCATTTTGTCCGGTTTTGGATTTATATGCAATAAACAGATGAATTATGCAACGAGAGATTCAATTATCTCGTCTAATTATAAATTCGGTCTTGGACAGAGAGAGGTTGGGCCTTGGACGGCCACGAGATCGAAGTTGCTTCGAGCACGTGCACGTGGGCCTGATGCAACTCTGTCACCTGAAAAAACAGGCGAATTGTTAGAAAAAAATGCAAGAAAAGTGCGCACTTGGGGCGAGAAATAACCTTAACGATGCGTGTACCTAGGCGAGCCGATCGCTTGGACACCTATGACACGGCGAATGCCATGCAAAAAACGAGCAACTAACGCAACGAGAGACGTCCCATCGAGGTAAAACAAATGATAAATTAACGAAAAGCCCGTTAAAACTGTCGAAAAAAAAATAATCAAGACTCGAGCTCTCGACGCAGCTACGAGTGCAGCAGTCTTTTGCGCGCATAGCGAATAGCTATATATGTAATATGAAGTGTGCATACTCACTGTTTCGCAGCAGCAGCAGCAGTGCAGTCGAATATATATATATAGGTATTATATACCTATAGGTATATATACTATTGAGCAGCGTAGTGCAATCGCAACCTTCGCCAAGTTCGTTCGTTCGTCGATCCCGTGCGTACTGCAGTCTGCAGCAGAGTTATATGCTATATATATATCGTAGCGGGCGTCTTCGCCATGTGCCGTGCGTTGTACGCCAGCGCACATGCAGAGGCGGCTGTCAAATTTCCAGCTCGTGCGTGAGCGAGCGCGTGGTCCAATTCGATCGGCTGCTCAGTAAAGAATAGGAGCGGTTATGTGCGGCGCGATACGGACTTTACCTTTCATTTTAAAACACGAGATGATCATCTCTCTCGGATGAGACTCTCGTCTCGTGCATTGCGGGGCGAGAGGGGGGGTATAGTAGACCGGCGCACGTTGACGCGCATGTATACTTAGCACGTTTTAGGCGGTTTACCGCATATAACACAGGCGCGATCGATCAATCAGAGCAAAGTTGGAGCGACTCTAGAACCACGTGTTTTTTCTCTCGCTTTCCGGTCGGGTTATAATAGCTTCTTCACACGCTTATTGGAGATTTAGATAGGTGTTAATCGTTATCGCGAGTATCGCGGGAAAATAGAAAGCGAGAACGTACTCGTTAATATGCAGCGACAGTAGAAAAAGGGGATAAATTAAAAATGTTGCTGAGAAAAATCCAATTGGCAGAAGAATGTATGAATCAATATTCAATGGGCACGGATGCAGCCGCATCAAGTTCACGCTTAAAAATTCCTCAAAATGCTTTTGCACTTATCAAACGCACACAAAAAGGTTAAAAGATGTCTTTCCAAATGTATAATTGGAATTGTATATATGCGGCTATCGCGACATCCTGTGCAGCGGCAATTAGTCACGCTGAGCGGCTCATACGCATTTATACCATAAACCCTATATAAGCTGTAATTTTTCTCGCAGAATCGATCGCGACTTGGCCAATCGTCGCGGGGCCTAATGAGCCTCTCTGACCGCGAAACAGCTGCTCCAGGGGCCTGTAATTATATACCGTCGGCGTCGCGCTAAACGACGATTTCGAGCTCGTGCATTATCTAGGTAGCTGCGCGTCCCTCGCAAGGTCAGCCGGCGGCGGCCGGTCTTTTCTAGCTCCTCGTAAAACCTGTCAGTGCTCGTGCGACGCGCACACGTCTCGGTACGCGTCCAGCTGGGGTAAAATGCGCGCTTATACCGGTCTCGCTGTTCGATGGATTTTTGGTTTTATGGCAATTATCGGATTGATAAAATCGTCGACGGCCTGCGACCAGACCATCGTCGAGACCGAGACGGGTCGGCTCGAGGGCTCGGCCCAGACCAGCATTCTGGGCGACGAGTTTTGTGCCTTCAAGGGGATACCCTACGCCGAGCCGCCGATCGATCAGCTCAGATTTAAGGTAGATAGCTTGATTATTCATGGGATAAACCTGCATTCGACCACTTGAGAATTCTCACTTTTTCACTTATAAAAATTATGCATAATGTTACAAAAATTTTCTTCAAATAACTTCTAATAACAAAAAAGGTAATCTGTCGAATAAGTACTTCACTCGATCAAAAATAGTTGACAATATTTCTAATAAAAGTTTTGAAGTTAAAAAATGCAAATCGTCTAGTAGCCGTCCACCTTATTGAACTGTCAATGACATGATCTTAGAACTTTCTTATATTTTTATTTTCCAAGACTGAAAGCGAACATACGTGTCTTGAAATGTATGAGAAACCAATTTTCGATTTTGAAGATTGAACTGAAACATTCACCTAAAAATGAATAACGTTTGTTACAGGCGATCGAATGCTAGATGGCCTAATTTAAAAAAAGAGCTCGGATAAAAGGGACATTCCCATTGAAAATGAAAAAAAAAAATCGATAAATTCTTTTTTACGATAATAAATTTTTTAACATTACAAATAAACTCTGTTAAAATTTTTAAACGAAATTCATAAAGGAAAAAAGTTATGCCTGATTACGCGAAGCGATATGCCGTGCTCGATAGAATTCAAAAAAGCTCTGTTAATATAAAAAAGCAGCTGTACATTTTTTCCGAAAATATAATTTAGTGTTTGAAAAAGTTGAAAAAATGTTTAATCAAATAATAGCTCACAGTGGTCTGTTACTAAATGGCGATTGATACGATACTGCTAAGTTCGCCCTATATATCATTGGTTCAGAAACTTTCAATGTTTTTTTTTTCGTCTCGTCAGGATCCCCTGCCGGCCGAGCCGTGGCAGGGCGTGCGAAAGGCCACCAACTACAGCGAGGCTTGTCTGCAGTACAATTACCTGCTGAAGCGCGTCGAGGGCAGCGAGGACTGCCTCTATCTCAACGTCTTCACCAAGACGGTAGGCGGCGGCAATAATTCGACTTTGCGCCCGGTGATGGTCTGGATCCACGGGGGTGCGTTCGCCTTCGGCAGCGGCGACGACTCGTTCTACGGGCCGGACTACTTCATGCGCAAGGACGTCGTGCTGGTCACCTTCAACTACAGACTCGGAATTTTCGGCTTTCTCAATCTCGAGGACAGACTGGCGCCAGGCAATCAGGGCCTGAAGGACCAGGTGGCGGCTCTCAAGTGGGTGCACGACAATATAGAACACTTCGGGGGCGATCCCGATCGCGTGACGATTTTCGGCGAGAGTGCGGGTGCCGCCTCGGTTCATTACCTGACTTTATCGCCCATGGCAGAAGGTAGATAACATAATTAAATAACGAGTTGACAGCGTAATTTTTGGCCACGTTATACAGGTCTCTTCAGCAAGGCCATAATGCAGAGCGGCGTCGCTCTCAATCCCTGGGCTCTGACGGTGCCCATCTCCAGGCAGCTCGTCTTCAGGCTGTGCGCCCGCTTGGGCAACGAGACCGAGGACTCCGAGGAGATCCTCGAGCTGCTCAGATCGACCGAGGCCAGCGAGCTGGTGGACGCTCAGCGCACGATTCTCACCAAGAGAGAGCGAATACAGACTCTGACGCCGTTCGGGCCCTCGGTCGACGACGAGTCCGACGAGCCCTTCATGCCGATCGATCCCGTCGAGGCGTCCGCGAGGGGCATCCACTTGCCGATCATCATCGGTTACAACAGCCGCGAGGGCATCTACTACTTGGCAGGTAAAAACACGAGGCGTTGTGCTTTGTCGAAGCTCGTTCAAAATTTTCTCGATTAAATACTTCGAGCCGTACGTAGCCACAGCGCTGGGACGAAATTACAGACGGTTCAATCGGCAATTTCGGCAATTCTTGCATCCCTACGTGATCGAGCTCTGGCGGGACAAGTACAACGGGACCAGCGACAGCATCAAGCGGCTCTACTTCGGCAACAAGAGGATAACCAGGCGAAACAAGGGCAAAATCATCGATCTTCACGGCGACTTGTACTTCGTCGAGGGAATACACAGCGTCGTCAGGACTCAGGTGGAAAAGTCCAACAATTCGACCTATCTGTATCGCTACGGCTACGATCGCGGCTTTTCCGTTATGAAGACCTTGACGAGGACTCGTGAACTAGGTTCGTATAGATGCAAGAGTTGTTCGATGGATGTAAGGAAATTACGATTTCGAACGCAATTATCAGGTGCAGCCCACGCGGACGAGTTGACCAATTTGTTTCGAATGCGAGCAATGGAGAGGTTCAGAACGAAGCCACTTTTGGAGGGCTTTACCGACTACCGACTGATGGAGCAGATGATTGACATGTGGGTCAATTTTGCGACCACAGGGTACGTATAAGTACATATACTCCTGTTATACTTTGAATCGGTAAAACTTTTTTAGTCTAAAATTTTGCAACGCAGACAGCCACCTACTGTATCATAGATATTCGGTTTATCGATCAAAGCACAACAAGTGTAATTTCTATATTTATTAATTGAATTAATAGAAATTTTCATCGAGTACTCTTCTCACAGATCGCCGACTGGAAATGAAACGGTGACGATCACGCCGGTCAGCTGGAAACCCGTCGACGACGCGAACAAGTTTGAATTTTTAAATCTCAATACGGAGGTAAAGATGGATACCGTTGACAATTACGAGCTGCAAGCGATTGGCAATGACATTTAATTGATTTATATAGCATTTGAATGAATGAAAGAATTAAATTTTATATTTTTATTAAACGCAAAGATAATAATTTTGTATTTAATTGAAAAATTGTCGAGTGTTTTAATTTTCAACCGACATAACACTTGCTTTCCTGCGCGTACGACCACGTTCATTGAGTATCGTTCATCGATAAAAGGCGAAAATTTACGCCTGGCGTAATTTCTCGAAAACATTTATACAAGAGTTTCGGAGAAAAATCGACGGCACAGCGTCATAAATCCAAACTCACAGGTCAGCATCATCGAATCAAATGGAAGTAACGCAACAGCGCATTACAGTTTTATCGGTAACGTTATTGCGCGAACATCGCGGTTACTAGAAAAAAAAAAAAAAATACAAATGATCATTAAGCCCGTAGATCTCAGCGCGCTATGATTTCAGCGCTTTAGACGCTCCTGTGCATCGTAATCGGTTGTATATATTGACAGAAAAAATGTTTCCACTCGTAATTATATTGCTGCAAGTCAAAATAATCTTGTCGTGCGACGACATCGTCGAAACCAAGTTAGGGAAGGTTCAGGGCTTCTCCGACACCGGATTACTGGACACCGAGTGGTGCAGTTTTTTGGGTATACCCTATGCCAAGCCGCCGTTGGGAGATTTGAGATTTCGGGTAAGTTTTTCGCCAAATTTAGTCTCGAGCTCGGCAGCGAACCATTCATCCGTTGCCTCGTACGTCCGCAGGATCCAGTTCCCGCCGAGCCATGGTCGGACGTCAAAATAGCCACCAACTACAGCAATTTCTGCACTCAATACGACATTCCTTACAAGCGACCCGGTGGCTCGGAGGACTGTCTCTATCTCAATGTTTTTACGAAAAGAATCAAACCCGACCAGCCCAGGCCAGTGATGGTGTGGATCCACGGCGGAGCCTTCAATTTGGGCAGCGGCGACAACATGTTATACGGGCCTGACTATTACATGCGCAAGGACATTGTTCTGGTTACGCTCAACTATAGACTCGGGATTTTCGGTACACAACGAGTCTAAAATTAATAATAATCGACGAAATCTCTCATTCTCGTATTGTGAACGGCCGACAGGTTTTCTCAATCTCGAGGATAAATTGGCACCCGGCAATCAAGGTTTAAAAGATCAGGTGATGGCTCTGAAATGGGTACAGGACAACATCGCGAGCTTCGGCGGCGATCCCAACTCGGTGACGATTTTCGGCGAGAGCGCCGGCAGCGCGTCCGTCCATTACTTGACTCTGTCTCCGATGACCAAAGGTACGCCGCCGCCGCGCTCGAATCGTCGCGAAAAAAAAAATCCTCGACGCAGGTCGATTAATTTACCACAAAAAAAGGCCTGTTTCACAGGGCGATCATGCAGAGCGGCGTCGTTCTGAACCCGTGGGCTCGAGCGAGAATAAACAGCTGGGAAGTCGTTTACTACCTGTGTTCGTTGATGGGATTCGAGAGTAAGGATCACGCTGAAATTATGAATTTTCTGAGAGCCGCGGACAATTACAAGCTGACGGATACCATCACGGAGCATTTGCATCCCACCGAGGTTCGAAACTCGCCGATCGAATGTTTTCTTTTACGAAATGAAATTTGTAATTTTTTTATCGTTAGGATTCGCTGAAAGGTATGATTGCTTTTGTACCGTCGGTAGACGACGAGGACGACAATCCCTTCATGCCAATAGATCCGGTCGTCGCGGCTCAAGACGGAATTCAGATGCCGGTCATAATAGGCCACAACGATAGGGAAGGCATTCTATTCGTGACTAGTAATGAAAACTCATTTAAAAGATTCGTTTGTTGTAATAGTTTAGACTTTCTGACGTACATCTTGTTTTGCAGTCGCCGGAAAGGACTTCATCAAGCTTCACGAAGAGTTCGACCAGTTGGAAAATCCATACGTTGCCGATTTCTTGAGCAACGAATACGACATATCGCACCGCGATCTCAAAAAGCTGTACAACATCTCCGACAATCAAGTCGAGAAGGGTGACAAGTCTTACAAAGAACCGCTGGTGGATTACCTCGGGGACGTTCAGTTCGTCGAGGGAGTTCATCGAGCGGCAAAGATTCAAGCGGAGAAATCGTCGCATCCGACTTACATGTATCGTTACGAATTCGATCAAGGTTTTTCGTTGATGAAACATTTTGGAAAAACAAAAATGAGTGGTAACGACGAGGGCAACAAACAGTGGCTATAAGGGTGGTCCATGAAAATTGAGCGTTCTATATCGATTGATATGTTTTTATCAGGTGCTGCTCATGCCGATGATCTGATAGTCATGTGGCGATTTCACATATTGGAAAAATTTAAAATGAAGCCTTTAGAAAAAGATTCCCTTTCGTTTAAAGTCATGGAGCACATGATCGCTATGTGGACAAATTTTGCGATTCACGGGTACGTGCGCAAAACCATTTTATTCTCATTAGAAAAATCTTTGCAGCATGATATAAAATATTATTTTGAACAGAACACCTACACCGAGCGTAACAGAAGAGACACCCGTAGAATGGACACCGATAACCGACGGTAACCAATTTGACATTTTATGCATCAATGCAACCCTGGAGAAGAGATCAATTCCAAATATTGAACAATTCTTTAAAAACGCCAAAAACTAAATAAAAATTAAATGATATATTTTTATAAAAAAATTGCTTCCCTACTCCATCATTATTCCAATTGAAAATTGATAAAGGGTATACTGAAGTCTTTTTTAATTTTACAAGCCTCGTAAGTATCTTTATAACTAATTCTTACTCCCATTTTTCCAAGAACTCGAGCAGGATGCATTACGAGCGCTTCTCGCATAAAAAAATGAAATGGCATACCGAGTAATCGTTCGTGAGTATTTCAAGCAAAAAACACTCGCGTCACTTGTCACGATAAAGTTTGCCATGAATAATCGGAGTTCAAGAGTCGTGCGCGTAAACGAAAATGGAAAAATTCAAAATCTCAGAGGGCTCGGAGAACTGTTTGTATCTGAACGTTTACACGAAAAATTTCCAAGTTGAAAAATTGAGACCAGTGATGGTATGGATTCACGGCGGTGCGCTCTTGTACAGCAATGGTGATGACCTGCTTTATTCGACCGATTACTTCATGCGCAAGGACATCGTGATCGTGACTTTGAACGACCCACTATCGATTTTCGGTCAGTTTGCTCTTGAGTTTACTTTTAATTTTCTTTCGAAAGATTTCTGATTTCGAACAAAAGTAGCGCTGGGAAATCAAGGGTTCAAAGACTGGGAAACGGGTTTAAGATAATAATAGAGAATTTCGGAAGGGATCCCAATGCAGTGAAGAAGAAGTCAGTAAATATGCTAGCCCTATCTCCAACGACTAAAGGTAGCTAAATAATTTTTTAACACTCGAGCATGATTAATCTGTTTCAACAAAACACAATTGATTCGTGAATCGATTCACAGGCCTTTTTCAGAGAGCAATAATGCAGAGCGGTGTTGTTTTCAAACCGTGGGCTCGATAGAAGCCGGACATTGTCAACCGTACTTATGCTCGGCTTTAAGAATAGAAGATCGTAATCATAAAGCGATCGTCAATCGTCTTCGAAAAATCGATATGAATAATATAATAGAGGCTATTAGAGATAATTTATCGCCAAACGAGGTATAGAAATATTCACTCTCACTGTGAAAAAACTATGCAAAAAATATTTTCAAGAAACGATAGCGGGTCATTTTAGTTTTGGCCCATCAACCGATGACGAGTCAGTCATCTATCTATTTACTTTTTTTATGCACCAGCATTGTGTACGCTACATTGCGATTGATACACGCTCATTTTCAAGACTCGAGATGACTGGCGAAAATCGTTACAATCGTTTTCTAATAATCTTTTGTTACTGCGTGCTCAGTCGTAGTTTATTCGCAGCGCACAATAATGTTCGACGCGCAGTTCTCGATAACGCTGATTTTGTTTACACTGGTTCAGTGTAATTGGGCACTTTCTTGCAGCGAAAGGGCCGCGGAGACGAGGTATGGCAAGGTGCAGGGTTCAACGGAGACGAGCATCACGGGAGACGAGTATTGCGCCTTTAAAGGGCTACCTTATGCAAAACCACCCATCGGAGATTTGAGATTCAAGGTACGTTGACCGATTATATCGAAGTACGGTTTTTTGATCGACTGTGCCAAAATTTGAAGGATCCAATACCGCCGGACCCTTGGGATGAAGTTAAAATCTTGCAGAGCTACGGTGACATGTGTCCCCAAGTGCTTCCGTCGTTTCCCAAGCCCATGGGCAACGAGGATTGCCTCTACCTCAATGTGTTCACCAAGTCGCTCGATTCGAAAAATCCAGTTATGGTGTGGGTTCACGGTGGCGCTTTCAATTACGGCAGCGGCGATGACTTTTTGTACGGACCGGATTATTTCATGCGAAGGGATGCCGTATTGGTCACTATAAATTACAGATTAGGCATTTTAGGTAAAGTAGTTCGAAGATTGCAAATATAAAAATAATTGAAAACTGCAAGTACGATGAAAATAATTTGACAATTGGTATAGGTTTTTTAAATTTGGAGGATAAATTGGCACCCGGCAATCAAGGCTTGAAGGATCAAGTGATGGCTCTGAAGTGGGTAAGAGACAACATCGCGAGCTTCGGAGGCGATCCCGATCGAGTGACAATTTTCGGCGAGAGCGCCGGTGCCGCTTCCGTTCACTACTTGACTCTGTCTCCGATGACGAAGGGCCTGTTTCGCCAGGCCATAATTCAGAGCGGCACTGCCCTGAATCCGTGGACTCAAAAGTCGCCCAACCCCAGAGAGTACGCCTCCAAGGTGTGTGCTCTGCTGGGAAAAAATGCCGAGAGCCCGGAGGAAATTTTACAAGTTCTCGGCTCGGCGGACGCCATCGAACTGAGCTCTCTTCAGCACAAAGTATCCGAGAAAACGGTACATTATATACAACAAATGAGTACTATACAATTACTTTAAAAGTATTTATTGAGAATTAATATTTAAATTTAAGGAAATGAATAAAATCATACTTCCGTGGGTTCCATCGACCGACGATGAATCGAACGAGCCTTTCATGCCTATCGACGTTGAAATGGCTGCAAAAGAAGGAATTCATGTCCCTTTGATCATCGGTTACAATAATCGCGAGGGTGTTATAACTTTGGTAAGTATAACATAATAAAAAAAAACTTTCAAATTAATTGATTTTTTTTTCTACTTTTAGATGCGTATTTCCGACAAGGATTTACCAAAAATAGACGAAAACATAGAAAACGGCTTGCATCCGTACACTATAAAACTGATGAACGAGATGTATCACTTACCGATCAACGAACTTCGCCGCATCTACTTCAAGGACGACGAGCGAATCGACAAAGACACCAAAGACAAGCTAACCGACATGATGGGTGACTTGAGCTTCGTCGAGGGCACTCACAGGGTGGCCAGAATTCAACTACAAAAATCCAACACTACGACGTACTTGTATCGTTACGAGTTCGACAAAAATTTCTCCGTTGTAAAAAAAATAGCCAAGACCAAGATAAGCGGTATAATGAAAAAAAAAAACAAATCGTAATCGCGCTGTGACTAAGATATATTTTTTTAATGCTACGTAATTGCAGGAGCTTCTCATGCCGACGATCTTAGCAGTTTGTTTCGTTACACCGGTTTGGAGAGATTATTCAAACTGAAGCCTTTGGAAAAGGGAACCGACAATTACTCGCTCATGGAAAATATGGTCGATATGTGGGTCAATTTCGCAACTTACGGGTAGGTAGCGTAATTACTAAAATGTTAATAGTTAATTTCTAAATCGAACCGAAATTGTATACAGAACGCCTACGCCAAAAGATGCGGCCGTCGATTGGCCTCGACTGACAAACAGCGAACAAATGGAGCTGATCGTGTTCAACTCCACCATCAGGGTCGATTCAACCCCCAATATAGAGCAACTGTTCAGAAGAAGTTCGTCGCGCAGAAGAAAACGACAGAGCGACGCCGCCGCCAATTCCGTACATTTTTTAACGCTCACACAATCACAATTAAGTAAGCTTATTAATAAGATATACACGTGCATTTTTTTGCAGGACTCATCGGCAAAAAGTCAGGAAAAACCCGCCACGACCGAGCAAGCGTACGTGATGAATTATCATTTCGTGTAATATTCCGGCGTTTATTGTGGCAGAGAATCGAATCGACGAGTGTAATGTTTATTCTCATTTTCTTATTGTAAAAAAAAAACTAATTTTGCAAACTATGTATCGTGTGTGTGTGTGTAGCAATGACGCAGCATCTTTCAACGATTTCATGACTGTTTAAACATACTTTTTTCTCATAATACGTTGATGTTTGATACTAAGAATGTATAATTACGATAATATAAGTAATAAATTGAAATTTCATACACCATTAACATTACTTTGTTATTATTGATACCACGAGTAGAGTTGATTAAATATTTGCAAATAGTCTAGACCTCATCTTTGCTGTTGCTAGTAAACTTTTCTTCGTATTTCCACGTAAAATTACCCACTAAACACAAATTTTCATTCTAAATAATAAAAGCCTTGTAGAATTTTTGTATAACATTGATAAATTTTGAATTATATTCAACATTCAAAATTTTAAAAAACTCTAATATAGCCAAGTTCAAGAAAAAATTTTCCACCGATGCAGCGATGTCAGTGTTCTCGGCCCACATCACCAAGGGTCCAATCGAACGGATCACAGAACAACCTCTTTGCGCAACGATTTCATAACAAACAAATCTGTTCCGTGTACAGCAATAGACTTCTTCGGAAAAGCTTCTTTTGCAGCGGCGCGTCTTTACATCACCGCGAGCGAGCACGCGCGCCGTTTTTCGATACATATAGAAGATAATGTGTGTGTGTGTGTGGGGCACGATGCAGTTGGCAATTTAGAAAAGAGACAAATAAAAAAACGAGGAAGCGCAAAGGAAACAGCCGCGCGCGCGACGCCAGATATACTCGACTCCGAACTTTGTGCGCGCGTAAGCAGCACACCGTTGAGTCGTCGTGTACGCGTAATCGCCTATGAGTGCGCATATACCGAGAAAATGCCGTTTTCATCGGGTGTGTTGATTTTGTCCGGTGCGCTGCTGATTTGCCATGGCATTGGGCTGACCCGGGCCTGCGACACGACCGTCGTCGAGACGAGATCGGGCAAGCTCGAGGGCTCGGCTCAGACCAGCATTTTGGGCGACGAGTTTTGCGCCTTCAAGGGGATACCTTACGCCAAGCCGCCCCTCGACGACTTGAGGTTCAGAGTGAGTCTACCGAATTTTTCAATCAGTACGTGTAATTTTATAAATTGTTTTTTTTTTGTGTGCGAAGGATCCGTTGCCACCGGACCCGTGGCAGGACGTGCGATCCGCGACGAAATTCGGCAACGAGTGCTGCCAGTTCAACTTCATATTCCATCGGGCCGAGGGCAACGAGGACTGCCTGTACCTGAACGTCTACACGAAAACGGCCAGCCCGGACATACCGAGGCCGGTGATGGTCTGGATCCACGGCGGCGCCTTCGAGTACGGCAGCGGCGACGATCTGTTCTACGGGCCGGACTACTTCATGCGCAGGAACATCGTGCTGGTCACACTGAACTACAGGCTGGGAGCTTTCGGCTTTCTCAATCTCGAGGACAAATTGGCCCCGGGCAATCAGGGCCTGAAGGACCAGGTGATGGCGCTACAGTGGGTCAGGGACAACATAGTGAACTTTGGCGGTGATCCGAATCACGTGACGATCTTTGGCGAGAGCGCCGGTGCCGCCTCGGTGCACTACTTGACTCTGTCACCGATGGCCAAAGGTAATCTATATATAATGGCGACTCGTGGATCGAAGCAAAAAATGTAAAACTATATCCTCGACGCAGGTTTATTCACCAAGGCCATAATCCAGAGCGGAGTGGTGCTGAATCCCTGGGCTCGTGCCCTGCCTCATCCGCGAGAAATAGTCTATCGATTCTGCTCGGTTCTGGGAAAGAACACGACCGATCACGAGGAAATTATGAGCCACTTGAGAACGACCGACAGTCACGAAATGATGAAACAACAGGATGCATTGTTGACCGAGAATGTGAGACTGCTATTATGTGAATTGACAAAATTATGTATCGATATTCATTGCGACGCGTTGTCGGTTATTCTTTTACGCGTGTTCAGGAAAAACTGAAGGCGTTTTTGACCTTCGGGCCGTCGGTCGATAACGAGTCGGACGAGCCGTTCATGCCCATCGATCCGTTGATAGCCGCCGAGGAGGGCATCCAATATCCATTAATAATTGGCAGCACCAGTCGAGAGGGCATTCTCATGCTCATACGTAATTATCCTATATCGAGTGCATATTCGATTTTTCTAGCGATTTTTCATGTTACCTATCGCTGCTTTTCTTGTTTTTTTTTATTCATAGGAACGGGAAAAGATTTCAAGAGATTCAACTCTAATTTCGAGCAGTGGGTGCATCCGTACACCATCGATTTATTCAAAAAAACGTACAATCTCACGGCTGAAGAGGTCAAATTCAAGTATTACGGCAACGAGGAGATATCCGCGGACAACAGGGAAAAGCTGATCGATCTCGTCGGCGACATTTACTTCATGGAAGGTATACACAGAGTCGTCAAGACGCAGGTTCAAAAGTCCGTCCTACCGACCTACCTCTACAAGTTTTCCTACGACAAAGGCTTTTCGCCCATTAAAAAGTTGACCAGGACTCACATGAGCGGTGAGAGCAAGGATAAAGATGAATAAATTAATTTTTAAAGCGAATCTATGTACCGAGCTTTAACGCTTTGCTCACAGGTGCCTCGCACGGCGACGAGTTGCCGGAACTGTTTCGCATGCGCCTGACGGAACTGATCGGCATGAAGCCACTGCAGAACGGCACCGCGGCCTACAGAGTGATGCTCGAAATGATCGAGATGTGGACGAACTTTGCCATCTCCGGGTATGAAATTACGCTAACATCGACGATCGTAAAAAAGGAAACAAAACAAAATAACGAAATAACGCAATTCGCAGAATGCCCACGCCGGCCGTGACCGATTACACGCCCGTTTACTGGCATCCAGTCACCGACGCCGACAATCTGCACTACTTGAACATCGACGCGGAGCTGAGCATCGAGACGACGCCGAGTATGGAATTACAGTACTCGGCGCTGAAGAACGCCGAGACCAAGCTCAATCTGTCCAGCGTGCTGAATCCGATCTACGGCGTCAATTTTTAAGATTACGCTTGGCGCTTTATGTAAATACGTGCTCAATTTCTCATAGCTTTATCTTTTAAACTTCTCTGTCGTTTGTACCGTACGAAAAAAAGAAAAAAGAAAATTGGAATAAAAGAATTTCTTATCGAACTGGACAAAAGAAAAGAACGATAAGGTCGATTTCATTGTTTTTTTTAATGCTTCAAACATCGTATGAATCGATAGCATAATTTAACAATTGTTTAAATTTTCGATCGTGATCTTTGGTGACAAAAAATATTTTCATACATTCGCATTTAAAAATAGATATGTATCTTTAATTAAGATAGACGTAAGGTCATGCTATCGCATTTTTTGAGTTAAAAAAACTTTTAAAGATGAGCTGGCATAAAATTATACAAACAAAGTTTCAAAACTCGATTAATATCGGATCCGGACAGTTTCGAAAGACGCGAAAGTACGTTTGTTTATATCTATGAATAAGCCTAAATATTTTTAAAAAAAATCGCTTCTCACAAAGATACATTTAAATAAATAAATGTATAAGAGTAATAAAAATCGGTAATAACATTGCAACAACGCGCGGACGATTCAACAAAAAGAGTCTTTTAAAAAATCTCATCGCGACGCTATTACGCGACAAAATCATTGGTCTGTCGAACTGCGTCACGAGGCGACGCGTTGACCAAGGGTCTCTTCACGACTTTGACCCGTCGTCGTCGTCCTGCTGCACCCTCGGCCTCGACGTCCTCCTCCTCCTCCTCCTCCTCCAACGACCACTCGATGCCGAAGTAGGTGCGAAAGTAGGCCTGAAGCGACTCGTGCACCGGCCTGGAGAAGTCGGGCGCCGCCTCGAGGAACTTGGCGTTCTCGTGGAGCTCGTCGCCGTGGGCCAGAAAGTACTTGAGCACCTCCTGGCGCAGCTGCGCGCAGGCGAACTCTTCGCACAAGAGCAGCAGCTCACCCACCTGGTCGTTGTTCATCGTGGCGACGATCCTGCCCACGCACAGATCGACGAGGTCGCGCACCTCGAACCGACAGGCCAGCCTGAGCATGTCCAGGGGATAGGGGCCGAGACGCTCGAGCTTGCTCGTGTAGCAGTAGCGCAGAAATTCCCGGATCACTTGGGCGCTCGGCTTGGCCAGCCTCATCTCGGGCTCGCCCGTGACGACGGACTGCAGCAGCAGCCGGGGCGACACGTGGCTCTCGAAGTAGGGACTGACCAGGGCCAGCCGCGACAGATTCGCCGGGAAGACCTGGCCGTCCTGATCGGCCACTATGCGAAAGTCGCTGTACTCGCGGCTCACGAGTTCCTCGAAGTTCTTGCGGTTGCGCAGGCCCACGTAGACGGCCTCGGTCACGTGCTCGGCGTGCACGTCGATCCTCAGCCGGTCGTCCCTGAGAAATCCGCCGGTCTGCAGCAGGTAGCTCGTCTTGACGAAGGACTTGACGCGCATCTCGGCGTCGCTGCGATCTTCCGGTCGGCGATCGAACAGGTGCTCCCACTGGACCCTGTCACCGGTGTCCGCGTCGACGATGCTCACGAGGGCGCACACGGCCTTGTCGAGGGGCCTCACGTACTCGGGGGTGGCGCCGCAGCGCAGATAGACCCCCAGGAAGCCCTGGTGGGCCTCGTCGCAGCCGCTCAGCCAGACGCGCATCCTCCACACGAGACCCATGTGCTCGAAGGCTCGGGCTTCCAGATAAACTCCCACGGGGCAGTTGCGCAATCGCTCCTTGAAGTCGTCGATCTGAAATTGGTGAATGATCGGCGGCAGCTTCACGTCCTCTTCCTCTAATACCGGATACATTTTTCTTTCGATATAACTAGTAACACTGCACACTCACGCACTATACACACGCACACTAAAAACAAATTTCCTTAATAACGATATAAATAAAAACAGACTCGCGCGGACTGACGTTTGTAATGGAGCTTTGCCGCGTGTAACACGAAAACAAAGAAAGGGCCGCGCTCGGCTTGCACTTGTCGTCGCGCGTCAAATCGTGGCAGTGAATAGTTAAAATGAATTTTGTCATCAAAATTTTACTTTAAAAGTCGAAAAAATTCCTCGATGAAATCTTCGCCAAGTCGAAATTGTAAACTGGTTCAAATGTAAACAGAGAATGTATAAACAGATAAATCGGTAGTTTAAATGTAAACAATATAATTATAAATAATTTTAAAATCGCCCCACGGATCATGCTTATAGTAAAAACAAATTAGTTTCTAAAGTATCTTTCTTGATGAAATAAGCCATCATACACCAAAGTATAATTTTACTCATTCAATTTTTAAAATAGAATAATCCACAATTTATCGTTTAATTTAGTCGCCAAAATGGATAAAATTGAGAAAAAATTCGAGGAAATTGTCTATCAAAATAATTCAAGCGAGCTCGACATTGTTTTCTCAAAGGACAAACAACATATTTGTGAAATTTGTCAGGAGACATTTACACTAGAATCAAGTATGATAGAACACCGAGATAAAATTCACAATGAACAAAAAAATTACGAATGTGGCAAATGCGAACAAAAATTTGAGTTTCGAAGTCATTTGAGTAGACATCAAATATCAGTACACAAAAGTCGCAAAGAGTTTCCATGCGACCAATGCGAAAAGATATTTGTGAAAAAATCGAGTTTGTTAACGCACCAAAAATTAGTCCACAAAGATCGTGAAGATTACTCATGCAAGAAATGTGAGAGGAAATTTGAAAATAAATCAACTTTACTCAAGCACAACAAAATATTCCATGAAGTTTTCAAAGATTACTTATGTGAAAAGTGCGCGAAAAGATTTGGAAATAAACATAGCTTGCTCAAGCACATAAAAAAAGTCCATAGCAGTTGCAAAGATTTTGCATGCGACAAGTTCGAGAAAAAATTTGGGATTTTAAGCACTTTAACAAAACATCAAAAGACAGTCCATGAAGGTCGCAGAGATTACGGATGCGACAATTGCGAGAAGAAGTTTGGAACAAAATGGCATTTGCTCAATCATCAAAGAATAATCCACAATGGTCGAATAGATTACGCATGCGATAAGTGCGAGAAGAAATTTGGCGATAAAGGCAATCTGGGAATACACCAAAAGACAGTACATGAAGGTCGGAAAGATTTTGTATGCAATAAGTGTGAAAAGAAATTTGGACTAAAAAAAGATTTGTTTCGACACCAAAGGACAGTACATGAAGGTCGGAAAGATTTTGCATGCAATAAGTGCGAAAAGAAATTTGGACTAAAAAAAGATTTGTTTCGACACCAAAGGACAGTACACGAAGGGCGAAAAGATTATGCATGTGACAAGTGTGGGAAGAAATTTGGACAAAATTATAATTTTCTTAGACACCAAAAAACAGTTCATGAAGGTCGAAAAGATTACGCATGCGACAAGTGCAATAAAAAATTTGGACTAAAAAATAACTTGTTTATGCATAAAATGACAGTACATGAAGGTCAAAAAGATTATGCATGCGACAAATGTGAGAAGAAATTTGGGCACTTAAGCCATTTACAACTACATCAAAAGACAATCCATGAAGGTCGCAGAGATTACGGATGCGACAAGTGCGAGAAGAAATTTGGACAAAAATCAGATTTGATCAAGCACAAAGATGCTGTACACGAAGGTCGCAAAGATCACGCGTGTGACAAGTGCGAGAAGAAATTTGGGCAACAATCCAATTTGTTAAGCCACCAAAGGACAGTACACGAAGGTCGCCAAGATTTTGCCTGCGACAACTGCGAGAAGAAATTTGGAGAAAGGTGGATTATGATTCAGCACCAAAAGACAGTTCACGAAGGTCGAAAAGATTACCTATGCGACAAGTGCGAAAAGAAGTTTGGACTGAAATTCAATTTGCTCAAACACCAAAGGACAGTCCACGAAGGTCGAACAGATTACGCGTGTGACAAGTGTGAGAAGAAATTCGGGGATCGAAGCAATTTGAACAGACACCAAAGGACAACCCACAAAGATGGCAAAGATTACCCATGCGATAAGAGTGAGGAGAAATGTGGAAACAAATCAGATTTTTTGAAGCATGAAATGACAGTCCACAAAGATCATTGAGATGTTGTGTATCTTCAGAAATTACACCAGAAAATAGTTAATAAAATTCACATAACTACCTATCGGACAATTTTCGAAGTTTATTAAGCTCATGTATGTGATAAATACGTTTTTTTCTCATTATGGAAAATATGCGAAATTGCATTCAATTTTACATTGTATGATAATCCAGTCTTAATACTCTTCATGAATAATTGCTTGGAATAGTTCCTCAAAAAATAGCGTACATCTCATCAGTGAACTAATGAAAAACGTTTATTTTTTTCTTGACAATTGTAAGTAGGTGTAAATACTTATTCAGATGTTTTCCTAAAATTACAATAAAAATTTTGCCATAATATAATTATGATTTACTTGAATTTTGTGATATCCACCATTATCAGATCTTTATTCGTTGTCGTGGTTAGTGCTTTATTTTTTAACTTGAAGGATTGAAGACTTATTACTACTCTCCGCACCTTTTTCGGCTCGTGTAATGATCAACCGAGAATTTTTTTCACGTTTTGTTTGGAACCGTAAATGGGGCGAGCGTTGCATTGACTACTGGCATTTTTTCACGAACGTCAGATAATGATACACGACCCTAAATTGATCAAACACGTTCTATTGAAAGATTTTGATAAATTTGTGAATCGATTTTGATTACTTCTGCTAAGAGAGACGTAATCGGGAGCAGCAATAATTTTCAATTTCAAAAACCAACGCGAAACCCCCTTAATTTTTTTATGGCACGCTAACCTAAAAATCGCAACTTCGCCGCTACTTTTAGGCTTTTGTACCATAAAATATTGTATGCAACTGATACGGATATACTTTTCCAACGAAACTCGTTACAGCCCTCGCCTTCGGCTCGTGCTGCAACCCCTCGTTTCGCTGAAAAAGTATATCCGTACCCGTTGCATAAAGTACTATAATTTAAACCAATAAGCTTTTTTTACATTCTTTAAAATTATTAGAAGTCTCCTAATTAATGTAGCATTTTCCATTATCCTAGTTAATTATGCTTTGATTCCAATTTTTCGATTTTTCAAAAATCAACTGAGTGGCAAATACTCTTCGACGTTCCAATGATTTGCCTTCATTTGACAGATTTTGC